GCACAATTACGACAGTCACTTTTCTCAAGAAAAGAAGCAGGCATGCCCAGAGCACACTAAATGTCCAAATCATTATTACTACCATTGATATGCGCTTGCTTGAAACAAGTACTTGGTATCTTAGATGTAAGTGGAGAGCAAGGAATCGGTCGACAGTAATGGCAGTTATTGTCAAAATTGATGCCCAAATCAATATCACGAAAGCTGGATCCAATACTTCAAAAATACTTCGATATACAACAGTGTTGTTAGTCATATCAGCAAAAAGGAGTGTACAGTAAGCAGGCTGCACCAAAGCACCAACACAAACGTCTGTGATGGATAGATTAAGAATAAGAATGTTCGAAGGTGTTCGCAAAGATGGCGTCTTGACAAAAGTCACGATGATCAAGAGGTTCAAAACAGTCGCCAAGAGACCACTGAAAGCATTGATGACAATCATCGACACAAACAAGGGACCATCCACCATGGATGATGGTTGTTCAATCGTGGAGTTGTTCATCCTTGTATTAAATGTTATTGGTATTCTTTAGCGGTTTCGATTTACGAGTTAGGTCTTCACGTCATTCCTATAAGAGCTGCCTGTTCGACAGCTGTTGAATACGAGTTTGTTGCAATTAGCTCTATTCTCATTCTAAACTTGTTCAAGATATCATTGATCTTATCTGGGAGACGGTCAAATCAACAAAGTGCGTTTTCTTCTGTGCACCAGTTTATCTGTAAACAAGTTCTTTTCTCTTCAAAATGTATATCTTATTGATGCGCCAGTATTTCAACTAACCGACTTATCTTGCTGCAATAGGTCCCTGCAAACATTTATCTATGAACAATATAGCGTAAGCGGTCTTGTTGGACAAAATATTTTGCCATCACCATAGCAACTCGATTTTGACAGGTATTTCATACCAAATTTTGCATTTCTTTGAAATTAAAACTGTTTATATTTAAAACTACCTTTTGCTGTACAGTGATCAAATTTATAGATAAAATTTCCAAGGATGCAATTTGGTCATAAATGACCGAAGATTATAAAATAAATGCTATGTTGCCATGACAACATATAATTTATAGTCTTTGAAAATTTCATTAGTTTGCCTTTTGACGCGGTTCTTTTTGCTTTTACGGTTTGTTTTTGTTTGTTTTTTCTTTCTATCTATCTTTTTTGACATACACCTGGATTTTTATGGATTTTTATTATCAAAATTTTTGCGTTTCTGTTGAGATTCATTTAATTTTAGTAACCAGAATTGGAAATTAAAAATCCAAGATGCCGGTCTCGGACATTCTGTTTTTGCTTTATACACCCAATCTATCGTCTAATATTCGAGAGTTGTCGAATTCGATTTTGTAGCATTACCGTTTATTTACTTATCCGAGAATTCGGCTCCAAGAAATGTCTTAAAACTTGGCTAGATTGTGTCTTATGTTTATATAAATGGATCCTAAAATTTCACACAAATAAAACGGACCAATTTTCAAAAAAAAATCGAGTATTTTTGTGAAAACATCTCACATGTTAATTAGCATATATATCACTAATACTCCGATTTCGAGTTCTGGTTTTCTCTGTGTTAGCCTCAAAACCAAGCAACATATTCTTGCCCGAGAAAACGCATGGAATTTGAAAAGAAAGACAATGGAATTGATTTGAAATCTCACACTTTTATTYTCACAATTAGGAATGTTTTGCGCACAAATGAGGCTAACACAGAGCATTGGAGAATTCGAAACTGGATTATTACTTGCATAAAACGCAGTACGAGTAAATCATAGTGTATGTATGTATTGCTATGGAAGTTGGTCAAGATTAACTTTAATTGCTTGAAAAAAGCCAAACGTTATGAGTCGAATTTTAACCATAGCAACACTACATACTAATATTATCGCATTTCTATAATAAAATAATATTCAACGAGTGCGTTGTTCGCGGGGAATTTTTTTATAAACTTGCTAAATGAAGAATTTGCTTTATCTCAATTTAATCAAAAAAATTCTTCAAGATCTGCTTCTGCGCATGCGCGTGGACTGTAGTAATTTCGAATGGTCGATTTTATTGGTTTTGTCTTTAAAAGCTCGCGTCACTATCAAAAATAGAGCCCATTTCCTTACGTTTAAAAAATACTATATGGAGCTACCTTAAGTGTGTGCTTTGTGTAAAATACACAAAATAGTAATTTATGTACATTCGAATGAAATTATCGTATATTCAAGTACTCTACATACTAAAAGACCAACCATTCTGAATTTACTTAGCCAACTAAAATTATTGCAATAGCCCTTCTTGCGTTTAGAAAACAGGTTGTGCAAGGAACCTGTGGTTTTGCACCAAAACGATACAGAATCGGGAAATAACCCCAAAATTGTCCTTTTAGAGCATGTTTACCTTTGTGCACTGACAGGGAAACAATGTTTGTTGGTTAAAAAAGTCATAACTTTGAGATGACGTGTCACTCAAACGTTTTGCCCCTTTGAGTTTTAACCATTGCTATCTCTGCTATTGTTATTGTTGGTATTGTTGTTGTTGTTGTTGTTGTTGTTGTCATTGTTGTTATAATTGTTGTTGTTATTGTTGTGGTTGTGGTTGTTGTTGGTTCTTCGAATGGATCGCAACAATTGAAGAGCAGCATTTCGCATGTCTGATATTCTCCAGAAATAAATGATTGGATTGATACTGCTGTTCATAAAGAGAATGGATCGAACCAAAATCGAAATCTCCAATTTCGACATAAAAGTTTCCATAATCCAAATAACAATGGACGGGGAATAACACAGGAAAAATGTTCCCAGTATATAATACATTACATTCACAGATCTCTTAATGTTCCCTGCTGCACCAGGCTGTGCGTTCATTGCCTGCTGTTGAACTTGAATTTGCGCTGCATGTTGACGAATAAAGAAAGATATTTTCAACATCAGAGAAATGGTAAGTACCAAAATGGAAAGAAATAAAAAATTATCAATATGCGAAATTACGACAGTCACTTTTCCCAAGAGAACAAACAGGCATGTCCACAGCACACTGAATGCCCAGATCATAAATACCACCATTGATATACGCTTTGTTGTGACAAGTTCTTGGTATCTTAGATGTAAGTGAAGAGCAAGGAATCGGTCGACAGTAATGAAAGTTATTGTCAAAATTGATGCCCAAATCAAAATCACGAAAGCTGGATCTAATACTTTATGAACACTTTGATATACAACCGTGTCGTTAGTCATAACTGCAAAAAGTAATGCAGTGTAAGCAGGCTGCACCAAAGCACCAACACAAAAGTCTGTGATGGCCAAACTAAGAATAAGAATGTTCGAAGGTGTTCGCAAAGATGGCGTCTTGACAAAAGTCACAATGATCAAGAGGTTCAAAACAGTCGCCAAGACAGCACTGAAAGCATTGATGACAATCATCGACACAAACAAGGGACCATCCACCATTGATGATGTTTGCTCAATCGTGGAGTTGTTCATCTTTGCATTCAATGTTATTGGTATTCTTTAGCGATTTCGATTTACGAGTTAGGTCTTCACGTCATTCCTATAGCAACTTCTTCTTCGACAGCTGTTGAATACGAGTTTGTTGCAATTAGCTCTATTCTCTTTCTAAGTCTAAGACATTAT